AGAAACAAAAGTATCTGAGATGCTCTGGAGGAGACTTGGCTTTTAGCCTCAGCAAAGGCAGACTTGGACGTGTGGAGTTTTCACATTTGGGTCGTGCAAAAGGAGATCTTGTGTCCAGTAATGAGAGACAGGTGGTGCTCAGAAGGAGGTAAACAGTGAGGTTATCTCGCCATGAGAGTCTGGCACGGTCACCAGAGAAACAGATGCTTTTTCTTTCCAACTGGGGGCCTAGCTCTAACCATCACTGCCAGTTTACAGGGCACTCAATTACTGGTCAGCTAGTGGAGAGTGCTGGACATGTATGTGAGAGTATGAGGAGTACAAGAAACTGCTTCATGACGCTACAAAGTCAAATTAAATGAAGACGGGACACGTCAGACTCTGCTCTATTTCAGGTAGTAATCAAACTAAATTAGATTTCAGGCCCGGCTTCTGTGAGAAGTAAAGGCCTTGAGTTTCCAGCTAGAGGTTATTCCTGAAGTATCACTGGGACTGTGGGTAAAATGAGATTGTTCCAGGGAAAACAAGGACCGGATCAACTGGAACTAAAATGAAACAACTTGGGCCAGATTCTCACTGGGCTGTGTCAGAGCTGTAAAAAGATGTCTTATTTTAGCTGGAATCGCACAACATTTGTATTTTATAACATTTTTGTACATAACTGCAAATAAAGTGTGCCAACTGTGCAACATTTATGTAAATAGTGCAAATGTATAAATTGTGTTTTTTATTTTAAGCTCTTTTCCTGATTTTATTTGTGATTGTTGAGCCTGTTGCATGCTTGTTACATCAGATTCTCTTTTCTCGTCACAATAAGTCACAACTTTGTCAGATATCGTCTAAAATCCCAAATCTGGGATGTGCAGCAACACGGCAACAACCACACACAAACGTTCTAGACGGGAAGTCTTGTGAGATCAAGTGTGTCATTGGAGTAAACATGGTGGAGGAGGAGCGTGCTGCGCGCTTCCATCGCCTCACTGTCTAGACATCACATTCAACAGGAAGTTTGATTGTCCCCAAAAATCAGACCAAGACAATCCAACATGTTTATAATGCCTGATTTATCATGGGAGTTGTCATCCTTCCGAACTGACCAGAGTGCTCTTAACACACCACACATGGTAGGATTATCTCATAAGATTATCTGTAGAGCCATTACAGAGGCTGGGTTAGGGCAAAGAAGCAGACCGATTATCCTGCTGTGTCAACCGGGCCTAAGTTTCATAGTTACCAACACTTCTGATGTTTGACATTTCTTCCTTTCTGACTCACGTCAGCTCTGTTAGAAGGTTTCTAGACAGACTCCAGACTCAGTGATGATTCAGTGACTATTTTAAACTAACATTGTGTGTTGTTTTTAACTCCAGCAGCATGAGGGCAAGGCCCGTGACTCATACAAGCAAATGACAAACCCTCAAAAATACTTGAAGGCATTCTGGAAACTCCTTTGTAAATTTGCAACCATTCAGCAACAACCAGAAGAAGAAGAAGAAGAAGAAGAAGAAAATATCATTTCTATAGCGTCTCTCAAGATAAAAATCACGAGGCGCTTCACAAAAACAAAAAATGTAAAACTATAAACAATAATTTAGAAAATGGTTAAAAATATTTTTAAAATGAGCAAAAAATTGACAATTGTGATTTAAAAAAAAAAGTGAGACCCTGGCGTTCCACGCCTCGGTGTCCAAATAAAAAAATGTCTGTTCTCTGCTTCCAAAGCTGAGTGGCTGCTAAGACTTGGATGACTCCTCTTGCTGGGTCCCTGATGACACCAGCGGTGCACCACATCATCTTAACAAACACTTTATTAGGTGAGTTTTGGAGTTCTGTCCTTTGTGAACATCATTTCTATTAAATGTGTCCTTAAGGCCTTGTTCGATGCATGGATCAATACTCCATGGTTTATATTGAGAAAGTATAAAATACTGATTACTTCAAAACTTTGCAGCTGGTAGGAGGGGAGCAGCAAGTCAAAAAGGAGAGAGTAACAACGAACAGCTCAAATTTGTTTTGTCTGTGACAAAATAATCAACACTAGTCACGAGTGGACTTTCATGTTTTTAACCGACGCAAAGAAGCGACTTACTAACTTAATAATGATTAAACACTGTCTGCTAAGGTGCAGGTGAAAACAAATAACTTATTCTAACTCCAAACTTCTACATTTTTGCTGCTCCTCAGAGGTCAGTGTGCAAATTAGAAAAATAAAAATTAAACTGGGGTAATTAGAGATTTCAATGCAACTTATCAGAATTAAAAAGTGAGATTTAGAGTTAAAAGAACCCAAAGGCCAATGACAGGACAGAAAACAAGCCTCCCAGAGTGATTCAGTCCTGTGTTGGAGTAAATGCTGCTGCAGCACCAGCCTCCGCCGTCAATAAGTTTGCTGGTCCTCATCCAGAGGCGGTCCGTCAGGACTTTGATTTCTTCACACAGAGAAGAGGATAAACAGCAGAAAAGCACTCCATCACTGTAAAGGACCATTTAATTACCCCGCAAGAGAACAAACATCTTCATTAGCTGTGATTTCAGAAGGATTCAGACAAGTGTCTGACAGGAGCGTTTATCAGATGTGTTCACTCATTCAGGTTAGTAGCAAAGGTTTCTCTGAATTCACACGTTTATGATTCAGCTAGTTTCTGGTAAGTTTGGGGACTGATGAGTTTCTCCAGCACAATCCTGAGTGATTTTTATGTGAATATATTTAAAAATGGACGCTGTAGGAGCTGTGGTCATGAGCTGCATAACAGGCACTTCAGCTGCACAAGCAGCACCACACCGCCTGAGATTATAGTGATTATCAGTGACTCACACTGACCGTGGTTTGTAGATTTAAATGTGTGCTGAAGGAAAATGCAATGAGTCTCTGTGTGAAACACTTAATATGACAAAAGTTCTGCATCAAATTAAAACAATAACAAAGATAATATAATAATTCTGTCTGAATCTTCTGTGTTTTTGTTTATCGTCAGGCTGCAGAGAGCCACAACAATAATCATTCTAGAATGGACCACACAGTTCTCAAATGTCACTTAAAACATTTAGTCTTATATTAACAATGGACATTCCTCATTAAGTACTTTAACGTGCTGTTATCACAGCCGTACTATTTAGCACACTGGGTTAGGGTTAGGACCCTTGTAGGTCCTCCCTAATAAAATGTGACCAACGTGAACTTGTGTCATAAGGCCAAGCTTTGTGCGCACACACGCACACACACACACACACACACACACACACACACACACACACACACGCACGCACGCACACACGCACGCACACAAACACGCACGCACACACACGCACGCACACACACACGCACGCACACACACACACACACACACACACACACACACACACACACACACACACACGCACACACTATAAAACATTTTGCAAACTTCTAGAATATCTAAAAAAAAAGAAAGCACTGAATATATTGTCGGGCATTTAGATGTTTTTTGTGAATTATGTTTAAATTAAAGAAAGCAGGAAAATAAAAAAAAATCATCTTCCATGTTTTCATCATTATTTCCACACTGATCAGCACCAGTACCAGTGATGGTCCAGTAAGAGAATAACAACTATCTTCTCTGCCTCTCTTTGCTGATTCTGAGCGTCCGTAGTGAAAGTGACTGCTCTGCTCTTCTCTGGGTTTGGCTCTTTGTCCCAGGACTTCTTGATCAGCCTTATTGACACGGGTATTAACTCACCTGGCTGAGTTTGTCCTGCTTAGACCAGCCTAAAGCAGATTGATGGCTGTGCTTAGTGCAGACATGTGAGGAAATGTCTGGTTTAGGAGTTTGAGCAAAAAACCCCAACATTTTTCCATTCTGCAAAATCACAAAACATTCTGGATCAGAGTAATTTTTTACTACTTTTCTCTACTTTAGCACACTTCTGGGCATAAAATAAACATAAAGACCAAGTGAGATTGGAACGACGCTTAATCACAGCTTGTGTGTTTATTTTAACAGCCACACAATGAAATATGCTTTGGCACGTGTGAATGGGGAAATTGATAATGAATTGCATAATTTTTAGTTGGCAGGAACTAAAATAACTTCAGGCTGTGTTAAACTAAGCTTCAGGTAAGCCAGATTAAACTGTTCTGTAGGAGCCAGGTTGTAAAGTCGTAGATTCAGAAACAGCTTCATTTATTTATTAAATAAAATTATTTAGTACACCAACATGTTCAAACATTAGTTTCTATGCTAGAAGTAAATCTGACTGAACTATAACAAGAAATATTTATTTGTTATAATATAAAATGGTCACTTTTATATGTTTATGTAACGTACAATAACTGTTTGACATAATTTGGATTTCAGTTTCAACATTCAGACATAACTTTGTTGTTTCCTACATAAATGCAAGGAAATTTTTATTGTTGTTTGGAGCTAAATGTAACAAAACTCGTCTCATTTTTAAAGTGTAACTTTGAAATCAGCTTCCCATTTATGTTGGCTTGAGTCTTTTGAGAGAACCAAACCTTTTCTGCCTTTCCTAGAGCTCACAGGAAGGAGAGAAAATAAGAAAGAAAAAGACAAATCATCCTTTCTTCTTCCACAGGCCCCCGCTGACCCGCCTTCACACTCGCCAATAAAGAGAACTCTGCTGTAACCCAGTTGCAATCCATAAACCCAAGCAGCCTCCCTACAGCCTGCCTGTTACAATCCTAACGAGGAGAAAAGCCTCTCTTGCCTTCTAAAATATGAACTAGGAAGGGAGCTAAATGAGGGTGAGAGTGAAACTCAGGAGAAGACAGAGGCATGAGAGAAAGGTGATGAGAGGGAGAGTTGCAGCCATAGCCCGGCGGCCCCGCGGCTGCAGCACTGGTTTGTGTAATGGTTGTGCATCAGTGTGAAGCACAGTAAACAGGACTAAAGCACATGCAGCTGAGAAGACCACTTAGGCCTCCTGGGGAATGAGAGCTATTTCAGTCAGCGCATACATGCATAGGATGAGACAGCCATGTTTTGACACAGAGCACTAAAAATAGGGACAAGGGGGAAAAAAGAAAAGGGGTGACGTATAAATCCTCCCTAGCTCTGGGATAAAAACATCCATCCACAAGAGCTAGTGAGGAGAGGGGAAACCACTTAGAATCTTAAACTGCTCACATCTTCCTGGGAATGTAATCCCACCTGACATGAAAACACGACCGCAGCCTCAGTAACATGCAGAGGACTCAAGCAATTTTGCAAGTTTGTGGATCCGTTACGTAACTGTGAGCCTGTGGGGCCGCCGTGCACCGGGTAAGGATGGCAGACGGCCTGTTGTGTTTTCTCCTGCACAGATATGATAATTAATCACGCTCCGACTCTCTGCTCTCCGTTTCCAGGGAGGCAGCAGCCTGCAGCCAGCTGACCTGAGGGGCGGCGGCACGTGCAGGCTGGACTTCAGCATCGCTGGAAATGTCACACAGTGTTAACTGACATGCTGGAGAGCTGCCTAAAGGTGAGAGGATCATGAGGACGGCCCACAAACAGCACCTTTACACCTATCTCTTCATGAATGCAGCGTTTGTCAACAGTTTATTCTGACACTCAGCCTATCTTGCATTTGGTTCTTGATACATAATGCTTTGATGAATTGGAAAAAAACTATTGGATTCAAAAAATGCTCAAATAAATGCAAAAGTTAAAGCTTGAAACACCCCAGATGCTGTTGCACAAAGCAGGAAACCACCGGGAATACAGATGAGTCGGAACTCCATTAGTAAACACACAGACGGAGCAGGTGGAGCAGTGTGTGTCTGAGCCACATTGAAGAATGCACCTCTCTTTTCTCTGTCTTCCTCCCTCTCTCTGTGTCGGCAGCATGAGAGAGGCTTTCTGCAGGGCGTGTTGGAGTGTGAGTCATCATCCGTGCAGAGAGAGAAAGTGGAGAGAGGCATTCTTTAAGTCGAAGACGCTGCTGATGGAAGCAATGCAGCACGGAAACAGAAAATGTCCTTCCCCTGATGAAAATCTGCCATAAATGTCAAATAACCACATCAGTGGGAGGACTTGCAAAACAGCATGTCCTCCTTCATTCATGAAGAATATTCTGTCTGACCATGTGGAGGACAGTCTCGTGTTGTCCCATCAGAGATGTGAGTTTTCTTTTATATTCTCTGATGTTGCTGCTGCTACTGCTGTTCACTGGTGACCCATGATGCACTGGCCCTGATCCTAGTATTTGGACCAATCAGAGATGCCAGACTAAAGCTCACAGCTCAACAGAAATGTTTGGATGTGAGTTGTCTGGGTGTGGCCAAGTCTGGGAAACAGGGCTAACCCAGCAAGCAGAGATAAAAAGATCAGGGTGAAGTAATAATAATAATAATAATAATAATAATAACTGCTGCAGATGTGTGATATGTCACACAGGTTGAAGGTAAAATAATCTTTTCAGCTTGATAGAAGGTGTAATCATAAAAAAACAGACTCTTTTAGGTTAAAGTCACTCATCTTTAAACTGTTTAATCCTCAGAAAGCTCAGAAGGTGAATGTTAGCTCTGCTGGCTCCATTTTTCATGAGAAGACCTCTTGTGCAGAACAGCGCTGCCAGGTTCCTGACTGGGACCAGGAAACGGGACCACATCAGTCCAGTTCTGGCCTCCCTGCACTGGCTTCCGATTTCCTATCGCTCACAATTCAAAATACTCGTCTTTGTTTATCATTTCTTCCAGGGTGGTGCTCCCCCCTATCTGGCCACACTCCTGAACAGACATTCCCCATCACGCGCTCTGCGCTCCTCTGACCAAGGCCTGCTCGCTGTCCCTCGGTCTAGGTGTCGTACCCGTGGGGACCGGGCTTTCTCAGTCCTAGCACCGTTACTCTGGAACCAGTTGCCACTCTCAGTCAGGCTGTCCCCTTCTCTGCCAGCCTTTAAGAATCACCTAAAAACACACCTCCTCCGCTTGGCGTTTCCAGAACATGTTTGATTATGGCCCTCTTTTATGTTGAATCCATTCCACAGTTTTCATTGGTACACTCAATCCATCCACTCAATCCAATTGTGTTTCACACATTTGTATTTTACCGGAATGTTTCATCTATTTTGTTATTTCCATTTTGTATTTTGTAATTTGAATTTCTTTTATTGTTGATTTATTCAGTATAATTACTTACAACTGTACCATGTTCAGCGCTTTGGGCTTCCTGACAGGGTTGCGGAAGGCGCTTTATAAATAAAGCTTTGATTGATTGATTGATTGTTTTAAAAATGCTTTCAGACCGGTGGACTTCTGCAGAATGATACCAGAGCTAAACTTAGGTGTTCTCTGACTGGTTAGTTACGATGCATACCGTTAGTGATCCAGGACTGAAACGCACGCAGCATTGACAGATTTCACATGTTACAAAAATAAGACATTTCAAACAAAAGTTTTGATATTCTGGTAAGAAATTCGACAGAAAATATGTTTTAAAATGGATTTATCAGCTGTGCTACCTTTTAATTAAATAAAGAATTGTTCAAACAAAAAGATGTAAAACAGCGCTATGCTTTCAAATCCTGTAAAATTACACTCACATCCTTCTCATGTGATCCAAAACACCGTAATCCAGTACAAGCACTTTGGAATAAATATTTACTGTGACCTTTCATAGTAGGTTTCACCCAACAACAATCCAACAAAGTGGCTGCTTAGATGTTATTTCATCACCATGCTGCTCATTCATCAGGTCAAATAAATATGGTTGTTTTTTTCCTGCTGCACTGTAAAGTATTATTTTAGTATTCGGCAGCAAACGTTAATCCTTAAATATGTTTTGATTGATGTGGCGGGAAGTGGCTGTCATTGGATTACATTGGACTATGATAAAAACCATTTAAATCCTGGAAACAGTGCGATGGAGATTAAACATATTCTCATTTATCGGTCAGGTTTGACGATAAATCTGTTATTTGCAGGCTAGTTCTTCTCCTTCTGACAGTTTTGTAAGAATGTTCAGGAAACTTCCAGAAAAAGGAAGAAAACCCCTGACTGGCTGCTCCACAGGAAGGCGGAGCTACATAGGTGCAGTCTTCAACATTTGTCAAAGCTCAGTAAAATGAAAAAAAAGCTAAATAAAAAGAAACACGATCTATTTTCATCATTAACTTTCACTCTTCCCATGAAACACTTAACTACTCTAAAATAAAACACCTAACGCTCTCAGATCTCCAAGTACCGGGGTGATTTTACCGCTTTCTAACGAGATCTTACCTTCTCCCACACAGAGACGGTACAGGCCTTAAAGACTAGCTCCCTCATGTCCAAACGACTGGTAACCAGTTGAAGATCCTCACCGGTATGGCAGGACCACAGCTGCTCTGACTGTTCTTCACAGAATTGTGAAACAGCAGCATAAGTCTGCAACCTGAAGCTGAGCTTCAGCTGTTATCCAACCCTGCGGATCACATTACAGTTCTCCAGCATGACAGAGCAGCTAATCAACACGCGGTTGCACTCAATCAAGTAGGGCTTGATCTCTGCCGACACCGATAGACAAACCGGTTAGGTTACGGTGACGTTGTCTGGAATAATATCAGAAAGTTGGGATTTTATGGCAAAATTACATGGATTCCTGCTTTTGAGCGTATTTTCATTGAATTCAGCAGGAAGAGATCAGCTCATACTCACCTGCTGCTGTTTGTCAGACCTCCCACACATTCAACACACGTCAGGTTGTTGGTCAGGTGGACAGTTTCAGGCTTGTAATAAAAATAATTGTTTTTTATTGAAGGAAAAAAACTCAACAACACAACATGTTAATGAGCAGAAAAAAATTGAATTCCAGTTTTACCAGCAAATGAAAAAGAAACGATTGACCTAATTAAAATGCTGAGCAGGAATTTGCATATTCCCTCCTCTACGTTAAAAATGAGCTGAGCTCTGGGTAGTGTTTGTTTATTTATTTAGCAGCTGCTTTTATCCACATGTAGCAATGCATCAAATTAACCTAACATGTTACAGCCAAAACCTGCCTGAGCATGCAACAGAAGAACTCTGCACAGACAGGTAGGTTTTGAACCTGCAACCACTGATACCATACTAACATGCCCTTTTTGTGAAGGCAGCAGCAACACAAACATTTAATTTCGAACCTGTCATCAGGATTTTTGCTTAAAACAAAACAGTCCAAGACCACCATCAGAAACGTGGTAGAAGGCTGGGTTGTGGACCTGCAGCTCTGATCCGTCAACAGCTGACACCTGAAAACAACAGTTTTGAGCTTCTGAAGTGAGGTTCTGGTGAAACAGAGACATTTGTATTGTTTCCTGTTGCAGATGCCTAGATTGACAAGCTAACGGCTAGTAGCAGCACAACTTAAATCAAGTGGAATGCTGCTTGCGTATATTTAAAAAGAAGTCATCACCTGCCCGCTAAAGTGTCCATTGCTACTCAAAATGTGCTCCAGCTGTGGGTATTTGTACACATGCACCACAGAGGTCTGTGTAAAGAACCAGCTGTAGGTTTGTCATGCTGTCCAGAATTAAACACGGTTTCTGCAAACTCTGGCTGCTAAAAAGAGCCATCTACATCTAGTAAGATTTGGGTTTTCAGTTCCCTGCTCAACAGTACAAGTCTATCATTTAGTCTCTTGCCTGGCAAACCTCTGGATGAAGCTCCTGCTACAGTTTTTGCTAAAATTACAAAATTTCAGGATAAATGTCTTCCCTGGAGCTTTCAGGTCAGTGACAAACTTAAAACCAGAGAGAAATGGAAATGGAACAAAAAGAACACGACAAAGAGAGAGATGTAAAGATACGACCCTGAAAACAATTCTTTTATGTATTTAATATGAGGTAAAGTCATGTCAGCCTGAGTCTTCCGGAGTCTGCCCGTCAGGATCGTCCACTCCCATCACTAAAACGCCTCCTAAGAATAGAAGTTCAAAGAAGGCAGCACCTGGAATCTGAAATGCAGCAAGAAGCAGGAGTCTGAGTCAACAGCAGGCTTAGAGAATTAAAAGGCCTCACAAACAAAACGTTCTGATGAACAAGCCTTTCCAACTGCAACAAAGGGGCAGTTTGAGCAAACGAGAAGGGGGTTTAGCTGCAGGCGATCAGCACATCTGATCAAACACCTCTGACTGCACAGGACAAGCTGGTGGCTGTCCTCAGCCTTTAGATTCACCCCAACACTGCTGGAATACAGCGACTGACTTTTGATCATTCACACCTACAAACACTGGCAGAAACATTCTGCTGTTTTCATGAGAGTTTCTGTGTAAAACAACATGATGCTGTTTTTGTTTTTACTTCTTGAACAGCTTGCGTTCAGAGAAATAGAAAGGATGTCTAATGGGACTGACAAGCTAATGACTAGTCTAGAAGGATCTATGTAATCCCAACAACTTCTGCTTAAGGCACTTTTCTTTTTCAGAAGTTGGAGTTCTGGGCCTAGCTGTTAGCTTATCTGTCCTGAAGCCATTTCTATTTAGAGTAAGTAATCTAATACTTATTTATAGTTTTTACCCAGAAACACCATCAAAAGGGCCAGAGACGTGTGTCAAACTGTGTAAATACGAAGGAGAACTAGCACCCTCCCTGCACCCGTCCCGCCTCTAACCCTAACCCTAACCCTAACCCCCTCTCCATGATTGATGTCAAGTTTTTGTTGTTATTGTTGTTGTTAGCCTCAAGGGCAACATGCTGATTATCACTTGTAAGTCGCTTTGGACAAAAGCGTCTGAATAAATAAATGCATAGAACAATTCCTACTCAGCTTCATCAGTGTGGCTGTCCCTTTAAACAGCTCCTTCACCTCACTCTGTTGCTGAGGGATTTCAATAACCGCTGTTTTAATTAGCCACCACATAATAGCAGTGACCTTATTAAAGCTGCTATGGAGTTTTAGGTTAGGAAAATCCCACGTACCATGAACTATACCTTTATATTGAATATCGTTTCTTATTGGGACTCTCAAACACACTGATACAAGAAGTGCTCCTGCTTTCTTCAGACGAGCAAGTGTATCAATATTTATGCACTGGCCGAGTCCATAAATACCAGCGGCAGTCTGGAAATCAATGCATGCCTGCTACGTATTTGAATCTGCCTTCATGAAGGTCACGTTACTCAAAGAGGACGGAGCGCTCTAAAGCAGCTAGCTAACAGCACTTGAATGCACCACGCTCTGACCCCGCCCTCCTCAAACTAATGTCACTGAACCACGAGCTGCATTACGGCGTAGAAACACAGAGCTCATCGCTCATCAACTGATTCATTAAAACCATTAAGTGGCAGACACTGCTTCTGGAAAGAGCTACGTCTTCAGGATTTAGCCTTGTGTAACTCGTGTACATTATAGATGAGGAAGAGGAGAAGGGCTTTCAGTTACCACAGGACACCCCCCCCCCCCACCTTCAGAACAAACCTTTTTTCCCTCTAAAACCTGGAAATGTCGGCACGGCACTCAGATCTACGCTAAAGCTGAGTGAGATGTAAAGACGGAGAGGGCGAATCCTTCCATCACATACTTTTGCCACTTTGATAAAGGAGCTTGTGAAAGTTAGACGATCATTTTACAATCTTGTTAAAACTGGTTACATTATTAAAAGACCTCATTCATCCTGTGAGGCGGGAAAGGGAGCATGTAGCAGATTGAAAATTTAATAAATTCAGTCCAGCGGCTGGAGCTGGAGAGGCTTGGTTCTGTAATCTTGAGTATGAACAGCAGATGACGTGGTCTGGTTGTATCCTTCATGCCCTCCATCAGGTTAAAACCACAGAAGACGTTTAACCCAGCCATCAAACAGCTTTTCAGACTAGGAGCTTACTAAGCAGCATATGCGTGTTGTAAGAGCCATATCTGACATTCTGCTGTTTTAAATCTGCAGGCATATTTTTCTCCTCAAGGACTCATACAGGATGAATAAGTACGGCTGCTTTATGCTCCATGTGGTTCTCATGATAAGCAAGTGAGAAGATGAAGGCGGATGCTGTCGGCTCAGACACATCTGACCCTGGAGGAGAGTGGAAAGGACTCTGCTCTCTCTCTGATAAGGTTTTGATAAATAATTTCACAGATTCATAAGTGTACTCTTATTTTGGAGGAGAAAAGTCAGATCTGTGTGTGTGTGTGTGTGTTTGTGTGTGTGTGCCATTGGCTCTACATTTTAGTGCAAAGCATAAAATATCCTCCGGTTTCCAAGAGTCACTGCAGAGACCCAATAGGTTTTATTCCACTGACTTTGATCTTCTGACACAACATTTCTAAACTAACAATTTTATTTATCTTTTGTCATTTCCTCAGATAGTGAAGAACATTAATCTGGTAAAGCTCTGAGCCAGGATTGGATCATTTAAACAGAATAGAGAGGTTGTCAGGTGCAAGGCCAGTGAACTTGTGGGGACTTTAATGGTCCGACTAACTGGAGTTAGCTCGTGACTATGATAGATGCTTCGTTCAATCACCAGCTGTTGTGTTTTAAAGCACTTGTAATAGCTAAACAACCTCCCTGAAGAATTTACAGATGTGGACAAGCTGAGGGTTGAAGGAGGTGAAGAAAGGTCTGACGGAGTAAATGAGAGAAGCAATAAACTAAGCAAGAGGATGAGTAATATTTGGAGATTGATGCCATAGATTTATATGAAAAAACTTGAATTTTGAAAGTCAAGGGTCAAACTTC